ATCAGATTAAAAACAAAATAGAATGCAGCAGATAAAAAGTGAACTCCTAAAGGACTGACCTAGGGTAGAACCTTTTCTTCTGGGTGTGACTCAGGGCAGTAGCTTCCTTTGTTTAATATAAATTTATTTCTATGTGTTTGTGGGGAGCATCCCAAAGTCATAACTCTTCCCCCCCCCTTATTCCACACCTCAGAGGGAGATTTGAAGCTTTCCCATTTAGTACCAGTGTGCCCAAATGAAACAAGAATTGTATTTTGAGTGAGCTTCAAGTGGGAGAAATTTAAGAAGATTCCATCATAGACGGAATATGAAGAACGGTTGCAGGAACTGGCTAGTCTAGGGAAGAGAAAGACCAGGGGAGACATGAGAACAGTGTTCCAATTTCTGAGGGGCTGCCACAAAGAGGAGGGGCTCAAGCTCTCATCCAGAGCACCTGAAGGCCAGACAAGGAATAATGGATGGAAACTGACAAAGGAAAGATTCGACCTAGAAACAAGGAGAAACTTTCTGACAATGAGAACAATCAACCCATGGAACAGAAGTTGCCTTCAGAAGTTGTGGAAGGGTGTCATCGCTTGAGACTTTCAAGGAGACTGGACTGCCATTTGTCCAAAATGGTGTGGGGTCTCCTGCTTGAGCTTGGTGGTGGTGTTGGACTAGATGACCTATAAGCTCTCTTCCACCTCTGTTAATCTGTTATTTGAACAGAGAGATTATTCCCAGGGAGACCATAATTTCTCCCAGGCAATGCTCCCCTTCTTCTGATACCTCTGCATTTCCTCACATGCCAAAAGATTGGCTGCTTTCTGATAGGGAAAGGAAAGGACATATTTTTCCCTGCTGAATAAAGATCCCTCCATCCCAACAGGATTTTAGCACAATGTGACCCTTTGGCAGATGCTTAAAAAAGCAACATTTTTCTAGTGAAGAGATCCCTACTGACGAGAAGGTGATTAGGAAAATATTAGAATGTGCAGAAATGAGTAGACTAATAGCTTGCCTTTGGAAGTTGTGGGGGCTTCATCACTGGAAGCTTTTAAGAAGAGATTGGACTGCCACTTGTCAGAAATGGTGTAGGATCTCCTGCTTGAATGAGGGTGGGTGGGTTTGGACTAAGTGACCTATAAGGTCCCTTCCAACTCTGTTAATCTGTTAAAGATGTATGTTTGGGAGATAAATACAGGAAATTAAATATAGGGAAAAGCTTAGAGCCCAGAATGTTTTATTTTCTCCTGACACTCATAAACAATCATTTTAAGATCGGAATATTTGTGGCCCAGGACTCTCAAAGTTATTGTTATGATCAAAGATCAGCCATTGCCCAGAAGAATCAGATTTGTAAGTTTCTCCAATTCCATTGATTGTCCCATGCTGCCATCTATCAACAAAGTGTACACCTGCAGTTTGGTAGATGCACCTAAAACGTGGACTTTTTTTTTTTTTTTTTTTTTGGCTGATAGATAGTGGCTGCTCATATCCAAATTGTTTCTACCCAGAAGACAGAAGAAAGACGCAAACCACAAAACTAGAGGAGATAACCAGGAAAAAAAAACATGTTGTTTCTGGGGCTGTTCCTTTTTGTCAACAATGATGCTCCTTCCAAATGAATGGTTAATGGGCAATGATATTCATTTCCATCTGAACAGATGGACAATTGATCCACATAAGTCAAGGTCTCCTTCAAGCTAAAACAGGTCCGGATGTGCCATAGGGCTTATCACCGGGGGATGGAACAAACCTTGGAGAGGACAGCCCCACATTCAGAGTTGATCCAGCCCCTTGATATTGTCAGGCCTGCAGCCATCTTTTCTGTTGGATATTTGGCCTGTCACACTTTCTATTATTCTGCTATGCATTTTCTATTGTGGGAAAATGGAAGGGGGGATTGTACAGAGTTAGGTGTGATGTAGCCATAACAATATTCTTTCTAGAAAGCCAAGGTCATCCTTTGTCTTTGCACCTCTGCACCTGGCTGGAACTGGATGGGTTGAACTTCCAGCATGGCAGTGGAAGATTGGACCATGTGATGGACTTGTGAGTGTGAGGGCAAGATCTTGAACTTTCAACTGTGTGGGGAAACTTTCAGATTTGGGTTTTCCCAGATGTGCCAACATGGCTCTCTTAATAAATTAGAACTTTGAGCAATACTTTGCTTTGGACTCTGATTTACTTTTGAATGCTATTTGGAATGCTGACATTAACCTGAATCTCCCTTAAAGTACTTTACCAGCTTCTCTGACCTTTGGGGTGCTGTCTGGGGTCCTGAGCCCCATCGCTGACCCAAACCTGGGCGGCGTAAAGACTCAGGGAAGATGGAGGAAGAGAATGTATGGCAGATATAGGACAAACTAAAATTCAATGCCCTATTTCTCTTTTATCATGGCTTGCATTGCTGCTGCCTCATTCCCCAATGCTTGGAAGGTGGAAACTCTGTTGGGTGTTCAAGGAAGAAGGGATTAGAAAATGGTAGGAAAAAATGTCTTAAGAGGTCAGTTTGATAATGGAACCAGTTACCAAAGGAAGTGGGGGGCTCCTCATTTCTGGGTGTATTCTAGCAAAGGTGATGTTCAGCAAAGCTCACTTCTTCAGCTTCAACCGCAATAATACATGGGCAAACAATAGATACAAACTCAAGGTAAAGCGCTTCAAATTTCAGAAAATACGACTTCAGCAACAGAGTGATCAACGCCTGGAATGCTCTACCTGACTCTGTTGTTACAGCCTCAAACCCCCACAGCTTCAACTTCAAATTGTCTGCTGTGGACCTCATCCCATTCCTAAGAGGTCCGTAAAGGGGGCATGCATAAGCGCATAAGCGTGCCTAATATCCCTGTCTTACTGCCCCCATTTATCTGTACTCACTTCCTTCATTCATGTTTATGTTCAAACCTATACTTGTTATCTTGTATATGTTTGACAAACAAAGAAACAAATAAATAAATATTATCAGGAATGATTTAATTTAGATTACTGTATCGGGCAGGATAGTGGACAAGATGGCCTGAAGGGCTCCTTTGGATTCTTGGATCCTAAGATTCAAATTCTCAGTGTCTTCCTGGTCCTAATCTAACTCCTTCCCTACTACTCTACCCTACTGCTGAGACTGAGAAGAAGGACTGGCCCAAATTCCCCCAGGAAGCTTTTGGAGCTAAGGGAGGATTAGAACTGGAGTTTCAAAACCTTCATCAGCTCACCACATTGGTACACATTTATTTGCACTTCACCAGGTTTCCAGATTCTGACTTAGGAAGAGGACTTCACCACTGCTTGCTAACTTAAGGTTTGGGCTCAGCTAATGGCTAAGCAACTAAGGTGCTGAGCTTGTCAATCAGGTCGGCAGTTCAGCAGTTCGAATCCCTAGCACCACGTAATGGAGCAAGCTCCCTGTACTTTTCCCAGCTTCTGCCAACCTAGCAGTTCAAAAGCACGTAAAAAATGCAAGTAGAAAAATAGGGACCACCTTTGGTGGGAAGGGAATAGCATTCTGTGCACCTTCACCATTTAGTCATGCTGGCCATATGACCACGGAGACATATTCGGACAGCGCTGGCTCTTTGCCTTAGAAAGGGAGATGAGCACCATCCCCTAGAGTCAGAAACAACTAGCATGCTTGTGCGGGGAAACTAACCTCTTTTAACCCAACTTTCCTTCCCTTTTATACAAGAGAGAATCACGGAATGATACTATCGTAACCGTCTATTGAGTCCAACTACCTGCTCAGTGCAGGAATCCCAAATCAAGCATCTCACAAAGATGGTATCCATCCTCTGACTGAATCCATTCAAAAAGGGAAGTCTGTTCCATGTCTGGGGAAATGGTTCCCTTATCAAAGAGGTCTTACATTTCCCTCCTCCCCCGCATTTAATTAGGTCTTCCTTCCTGGAACTTTACAATTGGTATTCCAAATTCTGTGCTCTTGTATGATAGAAAACAGGTTGAAGCTAATCATAATAATTATCATTGAGGTAATTTATCTATGGAAAATCTTTTCAGTCCAGGGGTGGGATTCAGTTGTTCGTCCTGGTTCGGGTGAACTGGGTGTCAGTTTTGCATCCAGTTTGCCAAACTGGTTGTTGCAAGAACTGGCTGGCCTCTCCCATCCTGCCCCCCCCCCCTTCCCAGGAGAACAGGGCCCGCACGGAGGCTCTGGGAGGGCAAAAATGCCCAGAAGTCCAGAAATGGGCCCATTTCTGGCCTCTGGAGCCCAGGGGAGGCCATTTTCACCCTCCAGGAGGCTTAGGAAAAGCCCCCAGAAGGCAGAAACAACCCTCCTGTGGTGCAGGAGGCTGACTAGGCCATGCCCACCATGGCCACACTCATCCAGCAACTGGGCAGAGAACTGGTTGCTAACATTTTTGAATCCCACCACTGCTTCAATCCTAGCATTAATGCAAACCATGCCCAGTTTCATAGCTCATGATCTTCCAGCTTTTCAGTATCTTTCAAAAAACCCAGTGTCCAGAATTGTCAAGTGTCAAGTACTCAAGATGGGAGCCAGCAGATGCCAAATAAAGCACAGCTAATGTTGCTTTTAATTTGGAAAGCATATTTGTATTACTTCAGTCTAAAATTGACATATTTTTGCAGCCAGATTACATTGGGGATTCATATTCAACCCTCGTGGTAACAAAGATTCTATTTGCTATAACTAGTGTCCAACTATAACTGTGGGTTTAAGAAGTCTGCATTTGTCTCTCTCAGGTTTCATTCTGCTGTTTTCAGGACATTTCGCTAACCTCTTTACATCATTTGGAGTTTTGTTTTTGTCTTTTCCAATTATGAGTTGGGATCCCCCAGAGGATCAGGAGAAACCTTGAGGGCAGAATCACATTTTTTGTCAGGCTTGACGCAATTTGAGTGGGAACACTGGCCTAACTCCCTCCAAGATTTGATTCTCAGACAAGTTGTGATACCAGAAAGTCCTGTGTTCACATGACACAATAACTCTTGTGAGTTCTGGCTTGGACTAACCCATGTTCTCCTCCTTTTTCTTCTTGCAGATTTATCCTGGTCTTCAGCTGTCTGATTTTATCTGTGTTTTCAACTATTCCTGAGCATCATACATTTGCCAACGAATATCTCTTCATCCTGGTAAGGGAGATCTCCTTCTTCATTCTTTTTTTAATTTATTTATTTGATTTGTTAATCATTTATAAGACAACAGGTATTAGAATAAACATGAGTATGAATGAAATGGGGACAAAGAAATGGGGACAGTAGGACAAGGATGGTAAGCACGATGGTGTGCTTATACACGCCCATTACAGACCTCTTAGGAATGGGGTCAATAGTAGACAGTTTAAGGTTTCAGTTATGAGGATTTGAAGATGCTATTTGAAGAAGTTATGGCGATTTGAAGATTCTTCAGCAACCTTCTGGGATTTTCTCCCAATGTTGTTTGGTTAAAGCCACACTGAGTCATTTGAGGTTCCACATGTTCTGAGAAACCAGACATTGTCTCAGCCTATTGGTTGAATGGTGGTTCTTTGGGCATTGCATGGGAAGGGCCTCACATGCATTTTGCTTTAGTAACTGAACTTTACAGTTCAGTGTATTGNGGCAATGTTGGGACAGACCCGTCTCATATGAGTAAGTCTCCTGTCAGCCATTTACACTTTTCAATAATAAGGAGGTTGTGTAATGGTATGTGGCAATGACCTTGGGAGATGGAAGAAAGAGTCACAAACTGGACAACTGGCATGCAAAATATATATCATCCACAGAAGAGGTGAGGGCATGGGAAGCAGAGGTTGTATTCAGGAGGTTCTGACCAGTTTTGGAGAACCAGTAGCAGAAATTTTGGGTAGTTTGGAGAACTGGCAAATGCCACCACTAACTGGCCCTGCCCCCATCTCTTCTCTGCCTCCCGAGTCCCAGCTGATCAGGAGGAAATGGAGACTTTGCAGTAACCTTCCCTTGAAGTGGGGAGGGAATGGGGATTTTGCAGTATCCTTCCCCTGCCACACCCACCAAACCATGCCATGCCACCAAACCATGCCATGCCCACCAAGCCATGCCCACAGAACTGGTAGTAAAAAACATTGAATCCCACCCCTGATGGGAAGCATTTCAGAAGGGCCTCTCTCTATTTTTCCAGAGAGTAAAAAGAAAGGATAAGAGAAATACTTCGATTCTGTTATTATAACTCTACAATAAAGATAGGGCTAGGATTTGTTCTGGTGCTTTCTGCCTGGACTATCTCAAAGGGCTAACAGGTCAATAACCAGGCCTTTAAAAAGCTCTCATAAGGGTAATGTGAAAAACATTTTTTTTGTTTGAATTAGTTTCACCTTATGATAAAAAACATTCCAAATATTCTATAAGAATATTTGCCACGGATTTGTTAATATAGAGCATTCCTGTTCTGTATTCCAAAATTCTTGAAAATAACTCCTTAGCAATATTTTAATTTTTTAATTAAAATATATTGCCAATTTTGAATCTGCTTGCTTATCATCTATCTGTCTGTCTGTCTGTCTGTCTGTCTGTAGGTATGTATGTCTCTTATATCTATCTATCTATCTATCTATCTATCTATCTATCTATCTATCTATCTATCTATCTATCTATCTATCTATCTATCNATACAGACATAAAGAGGGCACTAAAAGTAGTTAATGAAATTCAAATATTTTGGCCATCTAATAAGAAGGAAGGACTCACTGGAGAAGAGCCTCATGCTGGGAAAGATGGAGGGCAAAAGAAGAAGGGGATGACAGAGAATGAGGTGGCTCGATGGAGTCACCGAAGCAGTCGGTGTGAGCTTAAATGGACTCCAGGAGATGGTAGAGGACAGGAAGACCTGGAGGAATGTTGTCCATGGGGTCGCAATGGGTCAGACACGACTTCACAACTAACAACAACAACAGATAGTTCTTAACATACAACCACAATTGGAATTTCTATTGTGAAGTGATGTCATTGAGTTACATTCCATTTTATAACCTTATTTTCTGTGCTCATTAACTGAATCACACACTCGTTAAAAGAAACTATCTTTCACCAGTGACTTTGCTGGCTGAATGCCCCACAGGGAAGGTTGCAAAGGGTGATCATGTGACACCCCCTTCTCCCCCCCCCCCAGATGCTGCAGCCATTGTAAATACACGTCAGTTGCCTAGTGCATGAATTTTGATCACGTAACTGCCGTGATGCTGAGATGATTGCAACTCTGAGGACTGGTCACAAGTCATTTTTCCCCCCAATGCCGTCATAACTTCAAATGCTCACTGAACGGATGGTCGTAAGTCAAGGACTACCTGTAAAGCATTTCGGAAGGACGAGGTAACCCTTTTCCGCTCCACTGCAGCCCCTCCTGCTATTAGATTTCCCAAAAAGGAAATCTCCCATTGGCACTAATGAAAGGTTATGGCTGGGATTAATAGCTGTGTGTGGGAGCAAGTTAAGAGGGGAAAGACTGATTTGGCAAGGCCGGAAATAAGGAAAACTCCATCCTCAATCTCACCGTAGGCATGTTGCAGCCCCAAAACCTCAGCTACCTTCCAAAAGAGAAACTCTAGCAGAAAAAAAAGCATACTTTGTGGCAGAAGGAGAGGAATGCAATTGTTTATTAGATCTGCTAATTATTGATTTATTTATCTAGTATCGTAGGCATGAATGGCACTTTTGTCACAAAGCAGCAATTTAACAGGCACTTATTCCAACTGATTTACCACAAATTAAAGACAGTGAGAGTTTGAGTCTGGGCTTGTTTGCAGAGGGATTTAAAAAGCTCCTGCAGAAATGGCAATTTCAAAGACCCTGCAAGGGAAGGCAGCAAGGGCAATGAGGTGGTACTGATTGGGGAAAGAGAATTCCTCCGAGAGCTTTGGATGATAAAGCTGGATAAGTGAACATAATTGGCAAGGAGGCGCCAGGAAAACAGAGTGATGGATGAAGGGATGGGAGGAAGCTCGGTCTGCAATTAAAGGACAAGGAACTGGGAGAAGGTTTTAAGGAGGAGGCCCTGCCAAGCAGGGAGAGGAAGGACACCAGATGGACCTGATAGGATTAGAAAGTGAAGAGGCCAGAGAGGAGACAAGGGATGATCAACAAAGACATGAGTCAGAGTTCAACAATAAATAAATACATCATCATCATCATAATAATCCCTGCAGCATTTAGAAACATTCAGTGAAGCCTTTGCTGTTGGAAATAGGATGATCTCTTACTACTTCTTGGGAAGGGAAGAAGGAAAGTCCCGTTTCATAGAAGGGATTGGCTGAAAAAGAAAGGCAAATTATTTGGATGTTTCAGCCATCAGCACAACTTGCTCGTTTTCATCTGCACAAGGAAAAAACAAACAAGTGACAGTTGGAAGAAAAGGAAGGAAGGAAAATCTCAGAAAGAAAGATATCTCTTTTTAAGCAACTTTCCCCCAAACTCTCAGAAATAGCTGACGCTGGTTTTCTTCTAACTGAGATGAAAACTAAATTAAGAAGGTCCGTGTGACTTTCCCGTAGTAAGCAAAATAGGTACCTGTTTGTACAAAAATAGAGAGGGAGGTGACAAGGAGGCCATAGCTGACACTGCAGGAAAACAGGCCCTTTCTGATTCATTCAAGGAGGGATGTAGCGAGACCAGTTGGGGGGCAAGTCTGCAGGCCAGGTTCTCGCATTTCCCATTGGAGCAGGAATGATGGACATTTGTGCCCTTTTGTCCACCATCCAGGAGAAAAGCCATAGGTCTCTGGTAGAGCCTTTACATTGAATGCAAGGAATCCTATCTTAATGCACATCAGCTTCAGGTATGACTGGGAAGATGATTCCATTAAGAATTAAAAATACTAGGAAGCATCCGTTATTCAAAATAATCAGATTATGCATATACAGAAATGGTATATAATAGCCTCAGATCTTTGCATTAACCTGTGATAAGGAACTGAGGAATAACTGGAAACACATAAGAGAACAGAAACTCTTGATCCTGGAAAGACATAAAATAGGATGCCAGAGGAGCCTGAGAGGATGGAAGATTGCAAAATTGGTTTCTGGGTTTAGTGCATCAATTTAATGCTGTCATCAAAAGGATTGATTGATTGATCCTCATTTAGAATCCACCTCCCATCATCATTAAACCTGGACTGTATTGGCTAACCAGATAAGAAGGAGAACTCTGGAACAAGACAGTTGAACTCTCAGGTGTTATGGATTCTCCTTCAACTCTTATTCTGTTTGTTCTGACTGAGGCTTCCCAAGAGCAGGAAGCAAATGCCTGGTCCCGACAAAAAAACCTTTTATTAATTGACTGTGAATTCTGCTCATTCACATCCAGCAAAGTCTTTCAAGGAAGGGTTTACAGTAACAGAACTTACCTGGCTTGGAGAGTTGACAGGCCGATATCTGCAAAGATTGGCAAGAAGTCTCGGAGAGTCAGGAACCAATTAAACAAACTAATTGTCCCCTGCAAACTCCACTCCCCTTTCGTTCCTCTTTTATTTCCTCTGGGAGGGGCCATTCATCATCCACCTGTGGCCTTACTGCCAAGTTGACCCTTGTTCTTTAGCTGTTNATGAGCTAATTCAACGTTATTATAAAGCTACATTAACAGAATCTTACAAGTCTGAATGTAGAAATCTCCTGCGCTCCCTTTTACAGCCAGAGAAATTAGCAAGCTTCTTTTATGTATTTCTTTTTCTGCCCATTTTTCAGCTCCCCCATTCTTATCTGGCAGTTCTCTAGTTCCCCCTCCCTTCTCCCAAGATCTTTCCCACGTATTCTCTCTAGTAATGCTATGCTGCTAACTAGGGCATACAAAAACTTTGCCAGACCTATCCTTGAATGCTGCTCACCTGCCTGGAACCCACACTGCATCTCGGACATTAAAACATTAGAGAGGGTCCAGAGGTATTTTACAAGAAGAAGCCTCAACGCCTCTGCTCGTAATAAAATTCCATATAGCTCCAGGCTTGAAATTTTAGGCCTGGATAACCTTGAACTATGCTGTCTACGACCTAAGCTTAGTACAGAAGATTATCTGCCATAATGTCCTAATTTTGACTTCTACTGCAGTAACACCAGGGCTATCAATAAATACACACTAAATGTAATCCGTTCTAATCTTGAATGCAGGAAAAATGATTTCAGCAATAG